GGATGGCAGACCCGCGGGAATGTCACCGGGATGGCCAGCCCCGCGGGAATGTCACAGGGACAGCCAGACCCGCGGGAATGTCACCAGGATGGCAGACCCGCGGGAATGTCACCGGCACAGCCAGACCCGCGGGAATGTCACCGGGACAGCCAGACCCACAGGCACAGTCAGCTCCACGGGACTGTCACCAGGGTCACCAGTCCCACAGGGGATGGCAGCCCCACGGGACCATCACAGGGACAGCCAGACCCACGGGACTGTCACAGGGGTCACCAGTCCCACAGGGATCATCCAGACCCACGGGACCATCACAGGGACAGCCAGCCCCACGGGACTGTCACCGGGGATGGCAGTCCCACAGGAATGTCACCGGGGATGGCAGTCCCATGGGACTATCACAGGGATTATCCAGCCCCACGGGGCCGTCACAGGGAATGTTGGTCCCACAGGGGACATCCAGCCTCACAGGGACTGTCACAAGGGTCACCAGTCCCACAGGGATCATCCAGACCCACAGGACTGTCACAGGGGATGGCAGTCCCACGGGACTGTCACAGGGGTCACCAGTCCCACAGGGATCATCCAGACCCACGGGACTGTCACAGGGGATGGCAGTCCCACGGGACTGTCACAGGGGTCACCAGTCCCACAGGGATCATCTAGCCCCAAGGGATCTTCACAGGAATCATCCAGCCCCACAGGGTCCATCATAGGGGACATCAGCCCCACAGGGATCTTCACAGGGATCATCCAGCCCCACAGGGGTCATCCAGCCCCATGGCACCTACCACAGGGGACATCAGCCCCACAGGGTCCATCATAGGGGACACCAGTCCCACAGGGATCCCACAGGGATCATCCAGCCCCACAGGGGTCATCCAGCCCCACCCTGAGCATCCCGGGGAGCTCTGGCCACCCCTCCTGGAGCTCTGCCAGCCTTGGGAATGTCCCTGGGTACCCTGGGCAGTGCCCAGCACCCTCTTTAGGGGAGGCACCCTTGAGGGGAGATCTTTCCCTGTGATCCATCCCCTGGCACAGCCCAGCTTTCCCCGGCTCCCGTCCCTGGGAGCAGCTCCTGCCCCGGCACCGCCCCTCAGGGGGAAATTCCCCTTCTCTGCCCGCACAGCCCCGGGCACGGGCACTGCCCCCTGCCCCGGGCGGGCCTGGCACACTTCAGGGATCTGCGCAGGAATTCCTTCCATGTCCCATCCAAAGGTGCTCCCCTCACCGCCAGGCATGAGGGAGGAGGGAAGGAGAAAAGGGGAAAGGGGGGAAAA